TTTTAATTAACAAAGATCCGCGAATAAGCATGCATCGGGCTGTCTTACGCGCGTAAGACTGCCCGCCGCGCTTCGCGCGCTAACGGTGTTACCCATAGCGACATATGGGAGGAGCTAATATAACAGCATATACTATAACATATACATATTAAAATGTAATTGTGTGAAGCGGGCCGGACTGTCCTACGCGCGTAGGACAGCCCGATGCACGCTTATTCGCGGATCTTTGTTAATTAAAATCTCGGTAACTATTGCGAATCTAGCAAAATGGTATAAGACTTTTCACCTCAGTTTTATTCCTTCTACCTGTCTACGAGAGATGTTAAACCAATTCTGGGACACCCTGTATATATCGTAAGCAGGTAGAAGGAGTAAAACTGAGTCGAAAAGTCCTGAACCATTTTTTTCTATTACATATAATAAAGGAGTAATTATTGAATAAATTAAGCCAATCAGCGCCGACTTTTAGCCGAACGCATGTCAGTGAACTACGGGCCTGGTGTGTGTGAGCGCTCACTGACGTGTGCCCGGCTAAAGCTCGGCGCTGATTGGCTTGATTTATTCAATAATTACTTTTTTATTATATGTAATAGAAAAAAATGGTTCAGGACTTTTCGACTCAGTTTTACTCCTTCTACCTGCCTACGAAAGATGCTAAAGTAATTGTCGGACACCCTGTATATATATACCTTCTTATAAAATACCTAAAATATATAATATTGCCTGTTTTTACTTTTGAGCGCTTGTAGACCAAAAATGACTCATAGGATTGAGTTATGGCAGTAATAACTTTTGATCAGCATTGCATCAAGTATTATTTTCCAAAATTTCAGCCCATTTGGAAACCCAATTTCCATAAGAAAAGTGCGAGGTTCTTTGTACTTTTTTACTGAATGTATTTTCTCAAATAATATTTGGATTTTTTAATAAACAATCAAAAAAGTTTTTTCCATGTTAGTTAAAAGTTGTATTTTACACTTTTTATGGCCTCCATTGTTTTTATCAATAATTGTGTTTCTTGTTTTTATCAATAATTTTTCGGGAGTTCATATTTGGTTGCTTAAAGAAAGAACTTGTTTAACGCAAGCTGTTGTCCCTGAAAGACATAAACCAATTTCCATTAGTACTTTCAAATTCTTTATGTCAATGTGCTACTAATTAAAATGTTGAAATATTTTTGGCCATCGTTAATTGACTTCTTTATTGTTATCAAATCAATTTTTTAGTTTTTTTTACTAGAAACATACGTATTTATTTTATTCTTCTTATTTTGTCAATTAAAATGTTGTCATCAATTTTTATAAATAAATATATTTTCTCCATCATTTATACCATTTCTTGGACATTATATTATTCCGTTCGATTTTAGTTTTTAATAATGACCAAGAAGAATATTTAGCTTTCTTAAGATGGCTAGACCAGAACTTAGATAAAAAGTTTAATAATTTATACAAGTTGTATAAAAGATTTTTTAATGTTTTTCAAACAGTAAATTATCAGATTTAGTTAATTGAGCAATCTGAGCTTTACTACTTAATGGTTTAAAAATGATTCTTGTAATCAATGTTTATAATTATCAATTACATCAGTAAAATAACATCATATATTTCCATAATTGTTACGGTTGATTGTTTCAATTTTAATATTTTGATTGTCTTAATTTTTTATATCACATTATGTACTACAAAAAGAAGGATAGTTCATAATCATGTCTTTAATTTGAAACAAATTTTGGGACGCATTGTAAACTGGAACAAAGAGTTAAAATTTGGGATTGTCTCTCCTAATTTGGGACGTTTGGTCACCTTACTCTAATCGCCTGTGGTATAGCATGTGAACAGCATCTGTAGTGAGGGACTTTAGTCGCCCGTGGTAAGTATGTGAAGAAAATTTATGGCGAGCGACTTCAGCGTGGTAGTGAAAGAGTTAAATTTACAGCAAAAAAATATCAATTTATATATAGATAATAAAAAATATTTGGTAACAATAAATATTAATTAATTGAATACATTAATGTGTGTGTATGTATTTATCATAATATTTATGATCAAATCTAAACAAGAAATTTAATACCTGCGAGGATTGTTTGTGGAGCTTAAGAAACCGTAGTAAATTGAACGTGAATGAGCTGCACAAGGTTGTTCTTCGTCATTGAATCTTATATGAGAATCTGGATAAACTCTTCCATCAATATTTATTGCTTGAATCGATTTCTCTTTCAAAGCTAACGCTTGGTTGTATATCAAAGATGGTAGCACGAAAACTAGCGATCCAGTTAACGATCCGCCAATTAGCGCCATAACAATATCAAATCGCGATACCGATTCGCCCACAACCACGCTAAGGAAGACCACCGCCGATCTCATGGCGCATCGTTTCCATCCAAAGGCTAGTTAGTAAGACAATTAAATTATTTAAAAAATATATAATTATTAAATTATTATATAAATTATTAAATATTTTCTTCTTGAATAAAGAAGAGATTGATTGCTATGTATTTACTTTGTTGCACGCTCCAATAATCTTCTAAATGTTGAAAGAGAGCCGAATAGCCGATCACGCTGGAAAAGCACAGTTGAAGTGCGGTTAACAAAACAGCAATGTCCGCGATTGTCCCTGATGGAATAGCTTCGAGGATATTGGCGGTTGTGTTACCGCCATATTTCCACACGGCCAGACAAACAGTAATGGCGAACAAAGATCCGCTTACTATTGTATAAAAAAGCAAGTAGAATTAACGCATAATGAATGAATATTAAACATAATATTCACAATAAGTTGCTATGTTTCATTGTTTTACCAATAAAAGAAAAAAAGATAGCTTTGTCAATATCTCGAGGACGACGCATATCAACTTGTATCGTCATTAGAGTGGGATGTACGTCAAACTGAAAAGCCAACATGCCATATCTGAAAATATGTCAAAGTTGTTAGTTAGTTGAAACTAAATTCCTGTAATATATGATATAATAAAACAACAAGATAATAAAAATGTATACATACCCTTACGAAAAAGAACTATTGCCGATTACATATAAATATTACTGGCAATTACACAAGAATATTATTAGGTATTACAGAAAAAATTATTGGATATCACAGAAAATATTATTGGATATCACAGGAAGTATTACAGGTTATCACTGAGAATATTACTGGCAATTACACAGA